CAAGTGGCTGCCTCCATTTATACAGAAAGATTTTTATTTTTAACATGCCAGATTATTGTACTTATCTGCTCTTAGAAAATATGCACTGTATAAACATATCTTTTATCTTGAACTTCAGTATTTCTGTGCTTCCATGAAGAGTAAAAACATCTGGTTAAATTACTATGTGCAAGTACAATCTGCAGGCAAACCCCTGTATGAATTGCATATAAAATAAACGCTGGCTTCAGTTCTTTTCGCTTTTCCAAATGTTCAGTGTGACCAGTCTGTTGAAATCGCACCCCCGATACATGTCAGCACAACGATAACTCATGTACCGAAATGCTGCTTTTCTGAATAAAATCAAGTTCTGTTCTTGTTCTGCAGCTCCTAATGCTTTAAAGTTTAATTCTGTTATGTGTGTTCCCTCCCCAACAAAGCCCCCCCAAACTGGATTGGTACAAAGTGTTGCACACCAGCGGTGATGGCTCCAAGGGACTGGCTGGACGGAGTTGTCATGTGTCTGCCTGTCTACACTTGCTGTGCAGAACATCCTCTCACCTGTACAGCAGGCACAGACAGGCAGTCGCATGACAACCCAGCCTGAGGGAACAGCCGCCAGTGGGAAACGGCTCTGACACCCCAGAGCACCTGCACCACCAGCTCCAGCCACGAGTCACTGGATCCCAGACGGCCGGTCAGTACCAAGCTGCGTGCTGCAACCCACCCAGAGTCAGACACTGCCTCTAAACTACAATAAAACCCACTGCTGAAATTTTTACTGTGCTTCCTATAGTACTCTTTTCCTAGTTGTTCTCATTAACTCACTAACAGTAAGTTTTATTTATACGCAGCTCTGCGGCACCTCCATATGTTTTGTCCTTCCATTTAATTCCTAGGCATAACTTGAGCAACTTGCGTTATTAGATTATTGCTGTATCAAACTCACTGACATTCCTGCTTGCCACAGAAGCCAAGAGCAGTCTGTTTTGGGGCAAGTTAATTCTGTAAACACACACAGTGTCAGACATTAGAGTAACTTCTCCCCTTGCCACTTTCTCACCTCCTCACTTACTTTTGTATCTTGCTCCCAAATCTCACATAACAATTTTTTTTTTTTTACAATTGGGAATAAACTGTGAAATTATAATACAAACTATGTCTATGACCAGCTGTTGACAATACTATCATTTCCTATTGAAACAGAACGGAAATATTTTCTTTGAAAATAAGACCAAAGGGGATTTTCCCAATACATGTAAATTTCACATTTTCAGAAGTTCTAATCCTAGAGTGCAGCTTGGATTCCTTTGCACACCAATAATGCCAGCAAAATCTCTAGATGCTTTAGAAAGAATAATAAAATCACAGTCTCTGACCATGCCCTGTAAAAATGCTACACGACTTTACAAATGACAGCCATTTGTTTACATTGAGAGCTTTTGGATTCACAAGCATTCCACGTTCCCAAAGTCCATTTCATCCTGACACAGAAGTGGCTAATTCACAAACTCTGCATTTGCAGGCTGACTCTCAATGAACCTCCGTTAATGCTACTTAACAAGACAGTAACAACCGAAAGCTAAAATGCTCAGATTTAATCATGTGTGTGTAGCTGTGCCTTAAAACGCTCCAGCTGGGATTACACGGAATACTCTACGAAATAAAGCTGTATTTGTAGGGTCACTGAACGTTCTAATCTTGCACTTATTGCAATCTTGCAGCCTCAAAGAGGTGCACAGCATTTTCCTTGTTTCATTTTTAAGTGGAAAAGCACAAAGTCATGGTCCTGGTCACACAGCAAAGTTATGAACACAAGCAACTGTGTGCAGGATCAGAAACTAACCCAGATCAGTACTCACAGAACTAATACTGTAATTGCTTTAAGGACACTGTTCGAACATCAACTGGATATTTCCATAATAACAAGCCTAAAGAAGCATTCTTAGGCATAGAGTCCCTCTCACCAGGAGTAAAATCCTGTAGTATGTTTGACAACAACGAAACCATGTCAAGAAACCAATTCTTTCTTTTGTAACACTGACATCATACAGCAAAATCTGAAGTCTTTTGCCAAAGCAACTTGCTTCAAAATGCATTCCACTGTGGATTCATCACTTATCAAAGCTGCACCTCGCAAATAAAGGAAGCCATTTACATCCTTCTCATGGCACTAGCAAGCAACCACTAGCACTCAGAGTGATTTTGATGTCAGAGTAAATTCCAGACTAGAAAACGGTCTCAGCTTACACTAGAGGGGGTACACAGCCCTGGAGGCCCCAGCAGGCACTGGAGTTTTGGAAAGTACATTGTCAGAGCTCTCTGGTACGAAGCTGCTACCACATTCCTAGCTCAGGGGTACAGGCACAGGGGAACAAACCCATCGCTGTGGCAAAAGGACAAAGGTGAGACCTGACTCTGCATCGTCCCCAGCTGCGATGGAGGGGTCGGTGCTGCTGTGAGGGGACTGCAGCAGGGACCAGCCCGAGAGGGAGGACGGGGCTCCGAACTCCCCACGACCCCGAAGGGCACAGCCAGAGACACAAACACGGTTATCACTTCTCACATCCCCGAGACTGTGAATCTCACCAGGGGGAAACACACCCGCACAAAGCCGGTTCAGTCAGCAGCTGAGAACAGGATGTGACAACTACCAAATCACGCTGCAAATGAGGAGAACGTTTTAAGGAGGCAAAACGCAATTCTAAAAATTGGAATTCAGCCAGGAGATCATATATTTACTTCTTTATTTTCAAAGCCCATAGTGTCTGTTTCTGAAACAAGTCACTTGTCGTTTGACTAACAGCCAAGCTGTGGCTTTGACCTTCTTCAAAAAGGAGCTAGAATAGACCTCACTAATTTTTTTTTCAGTCCTACTAAGAAAGGTTCAGTACAAAAAAAAAAATTAAAAATCATAACTTTGTATACTCTTTACCAGGAAAACATAATCAAATTACACAGCAAATCTGTACTTAAGGAGGAACTTTTTCCACCAGCAAAGCACAGAATAGTACTATCCTATTATATTGTCTTGCCACTCTATGATATTTCCTCAGTGAGCTCCCATACTGGCCTGAATGAACTACTGGCATTTTCATGACTCTCAAAACATAACTGTGTGGCAATTAAGAGACATTACTTTAAAATATGTATTTAGAAATCACCCAGTGGCTATTTCTTTCCACGTACTATTCTGAGTTTCCCAGGTGACTCCCTCCAGCAGACTACCAAAACTAATTATTTATTTTTTAAAGTTGCATCACACAAGACATACCATTAGCATTTTTAGGAATTTTTATATTCCGCATTAAACAAAGACCAGACTCAAAAAGGTCTAAAAAAACTACATTAAAAGTTGCCATAGCACATCTTGGATGCACCTCCAACTGCCTGAGACAGAACACAGCAAGGGGTGTTAATTCCCCCCATCGCTTGTTTTAGTTCCAGTTACCTGTACTGAACCTAAGAAAGCAAGTTCTAGTAACCTTAAGGCAGATCACAAAAACCAGCAGCTTCAAATTTTCAAATTCATGAAGTGACTTTTGCATTTCTTTCAAAGTATATTTCAGCAATTTGAGAATAAAACTTCCCCTCTTAGCATTTATCCTGTGGCTCCTCCCCTCTGCCTGACACACACTTGTTTTCCTGTTACAGTAAATACATTTGAATCCCTTTAAAGCTTAAATAAAAGAGCAAGGGGCAAAATCTTAAAAATTAACCTAATTTGTCCCTCAGTCTTAAGGTCTGTCCCAAAATAGCCACTGACCCAAGGAAAAAAACCAAACAAACCAACCCTACTGACCAGCACAGTTTCCACCATCAGCAGCATTACTGAGGGAACTCCCTATGGCAAGTACCACATCCTGAATTTGCAGGACTCAGGAAAGCTCTGACTATACACACATGCACTGCAGGACTTCTCCCCACTGCTTCCAGAAAATCTACTGCAGTAAAACACTACACTAGTTTAAAGAGAATATGAATTGTCTGCAGTCCCCATCAACCAGCTCCCTGTTTTGCTGGGATCAGCCAGTGTTGTGATTATTATCTAAATTAAGATGGAAAGATTGAGTGATGTTTTACAGCTCATTTCAAACTTTGTCTTTACCTGTGCCTCTTCCATCCAATGAACTGGTTCACCCTAAAAATCACTAAATTTTTGCTGGAAATACTTAACTTCAAAAAAATTCAGAACCCAATTTTTCTACAAACACCAACACAAACCTTAAAATAACCCACAAAGGCCTTACCATAAATCTGACAGTGCACATAATAATCATATTTTAACCCTCAAAATACTGCTGGAGTTTTGGATAAAGCACATCATTACAAACATTGTTGAAAAAGTAATGAAACAGAACTAACAAGCTTCTTACTGGTATATTCAATATAGTGAGCAACCTTGATATCCTTTTCACCAGAGAAATGCTTTTTCCAGTTCCCATATTACTCACCTCAGATTTACTGATCATCCACAAAAGCACACTTTTTGTCAAATCTGAAAATCCATACCAACAGCTACAGAACTCTGTAGACAGGCTTTTCACCATCTCAGAATATGAGGACGAAGAATTGTTATCATTAAACCAACTGCTGTAGCTACTTTTAAAAGTAACTTTACCCAGACGATTTATGATCAACTTACAGTAGATGTGTAAGAGCAGCCCAAACAGACATAGGAAAATATCCACAACATTTCAGAACAGCCTGGGTTTTTTCCCTTTTTTTTCTTTTTTAGAGCAATGTGTGGAAATCACAGGAAGAGAGGAAAAAAGGAAAACAACAAACAAACAAAAACACCCCCCACAACACCCTTTCCTTGTTATCAGCATTTCAACAGAAGTCTTAGACACTCAGCATTCTTCATGAATCAAAATAGAAATTCAAAGACCACAGCTAAAACCTTAAAACAATCTTTCAGTTCAAGGCTGTACAAGCTGATTTAATATTTCAAGCTGGTATCAGAAGACTGAATTAGTACTTTTCTTTTCCCCAGTAGTACAAAGTTCTTCGTTCCTTACCTCATCGTCTTTATACCAGGACAAGCTTTCCGCGGTTAGAACGAACCAGTATTCCTTGGATCCTCCCTTCATGATGCCAATATTGTTGATGGTCAGCCAGCCTTTCCGAATGACCTATGCAAAGGTGCAGTCAGGCACAAGTTTAGATCATTACTCACTTGACATAACTCTGTTGCTGCATTTATTCTTTTAAATAAAGACTTGCTAAATAAAACATAAACAGGTGCATTTTTTCAGCCTCTGGCAAATTCAAGGGTTTTTACACGTTCCTATCATTCGAAAAGAAAGTAATAAAATGAGTATGTTTTCAGTCAAAAGGCTGGAGAAAGGGAGAAGCCTAACTATCAGAATGTTGTACTTAAAGCAAGTATGAGCATGTTAAGGATCATGTAAACTTGAAGGTATTTATTTGCTGTACAATGACACATTGTAAAAGTCCATGCAACTTTATATCTGACCATCCTGTTCTAGTCTAATTGCTAAGGTCATTTGTAAAGTTGGATACAAGGAAAAGCACCTAGACAATGGCAAAGTGAGTGGCTTCTGCCACACACTGGGAATTTCCAAAATGGGTTGTATCGAGTGACAAAGTGGAGAGTTCTTCTACAGTTAATTTAAAATTAAGGTAGGAAGGGGTAAGGAGAGGCACGTGAGAGATATTTTCTTCTCCTGAGGTAGAAGAGAAAAAAAAAAGAGGAAGAAAAAGCCTAAGGCAGCAATAAAAATCGGGGGAGAAGATGGGTAAAGCAGAACTTTATAAAATAGATACAAGCCAAAGATGAAATACAAGATGGGAACAACATACCTATAAATACTAAGGGCAGGAGGCTAAATCACAGACAGAGAAAAAGGGACAAAAGAAAACCTAAGAGGAATGAGAAGTCCAGAGGTGAAGAGAATAATCCTGAAAACTCATTAACAGATCAGATAGAAACTTTCCATTTTATTGGAACATTTGTTTTCCAATGTAAATATGAGAAAGTAAACATTCCTTCCTATAATACTCTGAACAAGACAACAGAACTCCCCAGTCACACAGATGCAGGAGACCTCAGCCATTCTGTTTCTCTGCACAGCAACACCCTTCACTTGCCTATGAAATACTGAGAGAGAAAAAAGTGCCCAGAGAAGCCCTTCAGAATCCCCTCAACAAGTCCCACAGGCACCAACTTGTCTGGTCAAAAATGAGTTTCCTGTTGTATTTAAAGAAATATTTGAGACTGACATTCCTCTCACAGGGCTTTACAAGACCAGTAACTCTGCTATCAACAACTCACCACAGAACATGGCTCATCACCATCTATTCCTTGTCATCTATGAAAGTTTCTGAATCAGAATTCACTCCCACTCACCATGTATGTTCATGTAAGCTCCCTGAAAAAAAAAGCTTTGGTTTTGCACAGAGCAAGGGACTAAGTTAAATCTGATAACTAAACCAAAGAAGAGATCAGAAGTTACTGAAAAGCAGGAACTTGTATTGGAAATGCACATAATCCAAGAGTATCCATTTAATTTCAAATAGGATGATCGTGTTTTCCCACTTACTACCAACCAGGCCAGCAGTGTAAGAAAAGCCCTGACGATCCAAAAACAGTTAACAGGTTTTCAGCCTGTAAGAAAATACCTAAGAAAGCACTGATTTGGTTCTGAAGCCTCAGTAAGCAATAAGAGAACTGGACATAACTCCTGTAAAGAGACTCAAGGGTACAGCACAAGCAGATTGGATGGAACAGCCTGTTCTGCAAAGGTTTCTACAAAAGTTGGTTGGTATTTTTAATATTCATGTTCATTGGGAAAAAAAAAACACTATGTGGAGAGGGGCATTAGTGAGTACAAAAAGATGGAATGCTTGTCTGAGTGCAAGTTAAGGGAAACATACTGATAAGAACTTGATTACCCATCAAATCCTCATTTTATTTTACGATGTTTATTGATGTAAACTTTTAACAGGAAACAGCAACATGTGTATATAACCAGTGTACTGGCCTTCAGGCAGCTGCCACAGAACAAGTTGTGGAACAAAACTAATTCTATTTTCTTTTTCTGCACTGAACCACACAAATGCAAAGGGAACAGATTTGCAGGAAAAGGAAGGAAATTAAGGCTTCCCATTCACTTGAACTTAGCTCTGCAGCAAGGTGAGCTGTACTTGTACAGCAGACTAAATACTTCACAGCACATGTGCAAAGGTGGGTATTCCCAGACTAGAAAGAAACTGAAATCAGAGGGTAAAAGAGAGGAAGCTGTTGAACCACATTGTCTGCAATTGAAAATGCAGTGTTGCTCCATGTAAAGCTCATATCCACACACAGGAACACAGACAGCTGGGGCAGCACACCACTGAAAACTAGTTTAGAGACACATCTCAGAGAGGGTAAAAGATCTGAAGAGAGATGTCAGTGGGGATAAAGAGGTGGTTTCTAGAAGCAAACCAGTAAGACACACCTGAATAGCTGGTTCAAAAACCTTATCCATGATGAGCACTTCAAAGGAAAGGGAAGTAACATTCTCTGCTTATTCCATCCAGGCCTTTCCATCACCGTGACCGTAGTGTCTGTAATGTTAATAAGACCCTAAACATGTTAATAAGAGTCAAATTTTCTCCATTTGACAAGAACACATTTGTGGTAGAGGTCTCGGAACAAACTAAGTCAAGGTTTTTAAATCTGAACTAGGCAAGCCACTTAAGAAGTATAATGAAATTTTTAATACTTCTAATGTAGGAACTACATTACGTTGCACAGCTCCAGAAGACTGTCACGCTCCAGTCCAACACATCTCCCCATAGATGCAGAACCATCACTCTTTGTGGACAGAAACAAGCTGACTTGCTAATACAAACATTGGTCACTGTCTCGTAAAGGAAGGAATTTGCCAGTTGTTTCCTCAAAAATCCTGTGTGCTGAGGATTAGATCCAGCTGTCATTCCCACACAACACTGCACGAAGAGCAGAACACCAACCTACAGCAACATCCTGGGTATGTGTTTTTCATACGTGCAAACTTCTAGACCTGTTTATCTATACTCCTCTGGGAAAACACAGGATCCTGTGTTCTCTAAAATATCCTGGGCACTATGACAGCCAACAACTATCTAAACCACTAAGAACCTGTTCCAGGGGACACCAAGAGGGAGAAGATGAGCTTAGTATGATAATCCTCATGTTCTTTTCACAGAATTCTTCCTGTTTCCCAGGTACATTCTGTTAACTACAAAGAGCTACACTTACAAAATACTCAGCACCAGTGTCAGAGATAAAGGGGAGGGAGATGTTGGATCAAGGAATAAATTCAAGACAAAGTGAGATTGAGCAACACAGTTTTACTTTCCAGAGAAGCTGAATCAAACCTTAGACTCCAGCCAATTCCACAAAAAAAATAAGCTATATTTTAGAAATAAGTGTTCTTCCACGGGCAATAAGCAGATATGCTTTTCAAAGATACTTTTGAATTTTAAAAAACCTCTATGGTATTGTTTGGGGTTTTTTAAAACTGTAGTGTTAGGAATGTTTTATAGTACTTCAGCTTAAAAAATGAAAGCAGTGTGTTTCATTATTTTCACAAGTTCATTTGCTGGTTGGTTTGTATCTAAGAGAGACATTTCAATATTTTCTATCGTATTTCTAAATGTCACTCCGTGCAAACCGGATATTAGTGACATGAGTTCAGGAAGGTGAAAAATATGGGCATTGCCAGAAGCTCATGAAGACAATATTCTGACCGGTAGTTGGACTCCATGCACAGGATGAACAAGAGATGACAGTTCCTTCCTTCAGGATCCTGATACCTAATCTGGGTGTCTGAAAAATGAAACTTAGAGGCTACGAATTTATTTGAACAAGTCAGAAGGAAATCATTTTCTCATAGTTCAGTTGCACAAAACTCAAATCATATTTGTTGTTTTTACTCTCCAGGACTTCACAGATAAACAGGAAAGCAAGATTTGACACAATAAGCACATTTTATGAATTGCTGCATGACTTCTTCGTTGCATTGAATCAAATGAGGTATTTGTAAAAGAAATATATTTAAAGGAATGGAACACTTTCTGATTCTCTAAAGAAGTATTTGAGGAATGATTGCAAGATAAGTGAGATAAGTGAAATTGTCTGGGCAGACAGAAATACAAGTGTGAAAATCATGAGACTGGCTTCTCCCACAACATTCCAGCAGCAGCACTTGTTAATATAACTCTATTAAGTTGTATTGCTTAACTCCATTGAAATAATTCTGAACACAGAACACAACTCCCAGTACTACTCTGTCTTCCAATCACTGTCATAACAACACATGTTAGCAAATAGTAAGTACATTGAGAGGATAAAAATTGGAAAAACTACTCTGTGAAGCACCCTTATAAGCTATTGGTTCTTTGAGTTCAATTATGAAGATTATCTCACTTCACATATTAGAGGGGAAACCTAATACAGTATTTCACTGTAATTTGCCAAATGTCAGAGCATAAACTCAGATCTGTTCTGATACTGAACACAACCAAGAGCTTGTGACACTGCTTCCCTACAAAACACTGCACAGTATATTACATGACTTAAAAATAATGACAGTGGCTAAAGTCCTAAAAACAGGTCTGCTTTAAAGAAAAATTTAGTCCTTAGTGAAGCAAAGCACTCAGTGGTGAAAAATTTAAACATGCTTCCAAATATAGTTAAACAAAGATTGAGATGAATAAGTCAAACATGAAGGAATCTTAACCCAAAAAATAAGTAGTCATGTACAATGGCAACACTCCTCTAGTGTTGATAAATGAAAATTCAAAAGCAGCGCGGTTCATGATGCTAAATTTTGAAACATTCTTGAATGTGTTAGCCTATAGGCACCACTTCTTTTACAGAAATACTGACATTTCTTAAGACAACAGCCTTGTCATGATTTTTCATGACCACCTCCACTGACCATGGCACAGGGTTCCATTTCCATCTGGTTGCTTAAAAAAATTCCATAAACATTTTTTCCTGGATCATGCAAGATAACAGGATTTAAGTATATCTGAAGAGAAGAAGCAGCAAAGTATGCTACAAAGCAGGATTAAAAGAAAAAAAAAAACATAAAAAAGGGGTTACTAGGGGAAAAGTTACTTATTAGCACTATAGTTCAGGCCAACCAACGGGGTCTGAATGGTACCTGTGTCCAGAACAAGTGAACCAGGTTGCTGGTGTAACACTGCAGAAGAGGCAGGTCAAACAAAGCCTTCAGACCCAAATCTCCAAATCACTTGGACAGTGACTTGAAACAGTCAACATTAAGCCTCTTCTCCAATTACAGGGGCTACTTCAAGCACAGCAGCAGATTTTGCCACTGAAGTAAATTTCAAAACAGAATTTCATATAAATTACATATAAATTACATATAATGCTCTATAATTTGAGTGTCTTGCATTGTCACACACAGAGTATCAATTCAGCACATGGAGCAATGACACCTTCATCTTCAAAACTTTATCATGAAGGGGAGATTTAAATATTAAATTTTAGTCACCAAAACAAATCTCAGCACACAACATACACAGTTAGGAGTGGGTCAGCTTTCGGGAGCCGGACCTTGCTAGTGTGCTGTGTAAAACCAAGCATTACACTGATTACTTCAAGCAAATTAGAAGACAGACTAACCTGTGGCTTAAAAAGAAACTTTGTGGAGTCAGGTCAAAGCCTCAGGCGGTAGCAAAGAAAAAACAAACAGAAAAAGGCCAAAGATTAAGTGTGAGAGGATAAATTAGTAGCAGAGGAAAGAGGAGCAAAAACATGTTAAGAGGAATTGGCATTATCATCCAAAAATGAGGTATTGTTGTCCTCATCTTATTTCCAAGACACACAGAAACAGTTAATAGTTATCTGCATCATTCCAGTTCAAAGCAGCTACTAAAAAGAAAAGTAAGAGATTGCAAATGAGCATCCCACTATTTTGGGAAAACGTAGTGACCTTAATCTCCCAAGGGATTCAGTTCAACTGCTGTTAGAGTCAGTGCTACCTAGTACTTTTTCCATGTTTAGTTTAAAATTATAACTAATATAATTTGTTGATGTGGCAACAAAACTGGAAAAGTGCATGTTTTCATCACAGATATTGCCAAAGACTGCACACGATACAGAGATTTATTTCTTGCACCTATCACTGAACCAGGAGTAACTTGTTATAAAATTAACTGCAGTTTAGACAATTAATTCTAATTAGTAATATTAAAGACATTCAAGTATTTATTTACTCATGAGGTGGAAGGGTTAGAAAAGAATCTGTCCATGATATATTGATCCTCCTGGTGCTCTGAAAAGAATGCTAAAACAGTTTTAAATATTTTCTTTCATAGAACTCAATTTTTCTATCAGAAGTAATTCCTTGGCATAAACAAAACACAAGAACAGTACCTGTACCCATAAACAGCATGTTCATTTACACAGGAGCTAATGTTTCCTTTTGGTTACCAGAAACTTATTTGCCCACCATTCAAAAAGAGGTCCACTATGAATAGAGGCATTTATATCAGATAAAAACTGCTTTCCAGTTACATAATAAAATATAACACCAATTAGTCATTTTAGTTTGAGGAACTCAGTAAATTATAAAAATATTAATTCTATGCAAAGTTTTCTACAACATTTTAAGTTATACTAGTTTAGACTTGTACCAGCAGGTTAGAAGCAGTTAAGTGATGAACTGCAGTTATACTTTGTTGAGAAAGTGTTACAGACAAGACAGCTTAACATTAAATAGTTTAGTAGCAAGTATTCAACAAACCAATGAGTTAGAGACAAACTTTGCCCTCTGAGAAGCTAAATGAAAAAGCAACAATAAAGCTTACAGAACTTAGCTCGTACAATTTGCCTTGAAGGCGGTAGATTGGTTCCCTGAAATAGCAAATTGCAAAAATGAAGTTTTATTTCAGAAACATTTTCTCATTCTTTTCAACTCCAAACAATTAACTTACAAACATCTGTTTATTATCTCTAAAATAAAAGGTTCAGCAAAGTCCTTTATACCAGAATTAATCAAGTCTCAACATCAAATTTAAAACGCCAAGCTTTTCCTCCACTTCTTTAGAGAGAAAACATTCACTTAATTAAAAAATCATTCATTTTATTTGTGTATTTTTGAAGAGTCAGATAATTGGTCAATTTTCCTTTTATGGGACACTCCAAAGTGATGACAGTTGTTGTGTTTGACACATGTTCCGGCACAGCTAGATAAGGAGGAAATCTCTCCTCAGAGGGGAGAGACTCGTCTTTGAAGCCATTTCAGTGTTTAGACCTTCCAGGATTCTTTTTCATTTTAATCCAAACCATATATTACATCAAAAATGCCACTCATGCTGGTCAGGCTGTAGGGGACCATTCCATCCAAGAAGTTATTGGATTATTTTAAGTAATGTCTCAAAAATAACTAGCAATTTCTTGGTGGGAGGAAGAGATTGAATTTCTATCCCCAAAAAGATAACTGAATTTTCAGAAAATGCCAACAAGTCTTGTCCTATGAGAGCAGCAGAACAGGAGATTTTCTGAAACCTCGGGTTTATGACCTGAGGGATCTAAACTCAGTGGTCACATTTGAAAATGTTGACCTTTCTCCTCCTGAGTGCTGTTTGATCAAACCGCGTGTGAAAACATCAGGAAGATGTTCAGTACTGGTAATTATTTATAGAAAATTTCATTGTCTTATTTTTACTAGAATTTTTTATTTCCTTCTAAAGTATGTACTAGTTCCATAATAGTTTTTTTTTTTTCTGTTTAAGACTTTGCAAAACCCTCAAAGTGAGCATAAACTCTCCAAGGTTGTAGTATTTTTATTCTTTTTATCTCATATTAAGAAGAGGACTGATCCTGCGAAGTTCTGAGAGTTCCTGGCCCACATAAAAGCAAAGAAAGAAGCGAAGCTCAGGAGCCCCAAGAATCTTGCAGAATCAATCTCATATTCTTATGTGACAAAAAGAAACAAACAACTAATGAATCTCAGTGAAAATGCTAATTAATCTGAGGCCATCAACCAGTTATTCTTTGTTTACTTCGAGAAAGGCCTATGGTACATAGTCAACACCTTTGTGAAGGTTTCAGCAGAGGGAAAGGCAAATCCACTTTTGCTTGCTGAATTGCCCTTCACTGCTGTTAAGCTGAGAACACATGAGAAGTAGAAAAACACTATGACAAAGCACACACAAGCAAGTACTCACCAGCATTTTGGATTCTGAAAGTCACAAGTTTGCAGTTAATAACAAAACACATCGCCGTGCAACATGAGAGATTCAACGCACTGAACGCCATGGGAGGGGAGGCACTAACCAGCAGTGCAAGCAGGAGCAGAAATTCTAAACATTAAATGATGCTAACAATGGGAGTCAGGTGGCTCTGAAAAGTTCAGCAAAACAAGGCGATGATGACGAGTTTTATGTATGTTTGAAGCAGAAATGGTAAATGACACACAACAGGAAAATACAGCCAAGAAAACCAAACAGCTTGGGTTAACTTGCACATGCCATTATCCATTCTCTGTTAGGTGCCTACCTGATTTCCCACTGCACTTTTGTTAACCTGACTGCTTCTTTGTTGGGCACTAAGGGAAGCAGAGGAAAAAAGTTACACTGAAGAAACTTGAACTAAGCCAGTTCCTGAGGAATAGACTTTAGCAGCAATAGTTACTTTGGATTCCAGCAGAGAAAACTAGATTAACACAGCAAAAGAAACACAGCAAAATCATTGCATACATGTGCATATTTCAACTGCTTTTCTACCTGCTTATATTTGTCTGCTTAGAACTGCACAGGAGTCAGTTCCTACTAATCATATCCTTTGCAACAACATCCAACTTGGATTGGTAAAGGTTACTAAAAAGCACAGAGAAATTATGGCTCATGTGGGTAACTTCAGAAACATTGGCCTCTATAAATATTCAGAGGAGACAAAGAGCCATTTCTGTTATTTAGCACAGTACAACAAAATCCTCCCCTGCTGGAGGCTTCTTAATAGCTTTGTCTTGACAGTTTGTTTTGGATATTATTCAAATATTTATATGCACTTTGAGGGTGTAAATATAACCAATGGATGAAGCCGTCCCAAAGCTGGTTCAAAGCTAAAATCGTATAAGAATAGAGCACATTTGAAATTAAAGTATATTTAAAGTATTTTGCTCAATTCTCCAACTTTGGTAATCCCAGTTCCTGAAACAAAACACACTCCTGTCTCAAAACCAAAAAAGTTGCCATTAATTCTAAAAGCATTTGCATTATGTGCTGGTTTGTGTTAGGCCACAACGTTAAAATATTTCTGGAAAGAGGCAGAAAAGCATCCAGAGAGAAAGCTTTGGCTGCTCAACCACCAGAGCGGGCACTGGCAACAGGAAGTTTTGTTTGGATTAGATTATACCATTTCACCAGGCATTGATTAACTGAAGAAAAAAGCATCCATATATTAGATCAGCTACAAATGCTGCTCTGAAAAAGAAAGGCAGAAAGATGTGCTTGGATCAGAGCCTACAGGCCAATCCTGCCACTGTTTTGTGCACATCTACTGCTCCAAACAACTGCTGAAGCACCAAACTCAACCCCATCCAAATTCTGATCTTGCCCTTTGGGCCACGTTCTATTAAACCAGCAGTCCACATGCTGCTTGTGAGAAGATCCAAAAGGATATTTATTCTATATGCCTACTCTCTGCATTTAACTCCCTGTCATCCTGATCCTTTTGCCCAAGTGACACTGCACGTCCCTGGTACATCGTCTGAGTTGCACAAGCTTTGGGGCATAAATTATGATTAAATAATGTGCACACAGAAAACACAGCACTAACCTATCAACAATTCTGAAACACACCTGAGATGGTTTTAGGAAACTTAATTGCTATTCTTTTGGTTTGATTTTTTTTTTAAGTTCTGTCATCTTAGGAAAGCTAATTAAACCTTGAACACTATAGTAAGAAACTCATGCCTTTTAGAAATAGCCCACCAATTGGTCCTCTATTTACTGTTCTAAATACAAATTACTCTTTTTGTAAATTGAAGCACACAGCTATGCCTGAGTTACACTGACTGGAAACAAATCCAAACCCAAAATTTTACCACTTATACTGCTACAGGAGACAAACATTAATATTCCAAGATTTCATAATTGCATGAATATACAAATTTGTCCTAAATACTGGCATTCTTAAATTCCTCTGAAGACAGTTCACATCACACTGTACCTGCCTCAGGCTCTGCAATGCTGCAAGGTAGTTTGAGATGTCTTGTGCTTTCATTTTTATGATCAAGGTTCACAGGACTCACACTATTAAAACACTGCAGGCACAAGAGACGAGGCCCTAGAAGCCTCAGCAAAGGAAAGGAAACACCAGGGAATCTGGTGAATCTATAGTCCAGGATGTTCAGATGCTGGAGAAGACCACATGCTACCCAAAAATCATTCATTTTCAAGTTCTAAAATAACTGAGATAACAATAACATGCTTATAGTTTCAAACTATTATTTTCTTCTGTTTAGCTCATAAGTGAATATATTTTAAATTGTTCTTCGCTATCCAAATTTTTTCTTTCAGCTGAGCAGAAGTCAACAAGGATACTTTGCTTTCCATCTATTCCAACCTAGAGCAACCTTGCTTAAACTCACAAATGAACTTAAGTGAAGAGTCACTTGTTAACTGCTTACACCCCGTGCACAGTGGCTGGGGATTTCTAGGTCTCAGCTGGCAAAAGAGGAAGCAGTTTTCCCAAAAAACTGAACTCGGGCGCTGCAACACCTTGGAAAAGATATAGCAGTGAGGACCATGGACTGAACTACAGGCCACAGCAACAGCATCCAGGAGGGGAATTTTTCCAGGGGAAAAACATGCTGAAATAGCTTCAGATACACCTGGCACTCCAGAATCCAATACTATAAAATATGGAAAGTTCCAGCTTAACACAAGGAAAAGTCTTTTCACAGTGAGAAGAGGCAAGCATTGGAATAGGCTACAGAGAGAGGCTAGAGGATCTCCCATTTTGTGATTTTTCCAGATCTGATTCGATAAAACCCTGAGTAACCTGATCTGAACTCAACATTGACCCTCCTCTGAGCAGGAGGTTGGACTATGTGACTTCTCAAGGTCACAGTACACACCATGAATACATATGGAGTGTTTTTAGCAGGCTTTTTCCTGTCAGAAAAGGATGAAGAGAAGTAAATAGCAGGCAGGTTGTTATCTTGACCTCTAGAAGGCCACCTACCATTCCTACAACATCCTGTCATTTGTCAAGAGAACTGATAAAGATATCTAGGACCTGCAAACAACTCTAGAGAAAGTTGCTCAAATCAAACACATAAATAGTGCCTGGCTTTGCCTTCTCCCTTCTCAGCTTACTGAACTCCACGTTTTAAACCCTCAAGGCATATGGCCAAATATGTGGATCTTCCTTCACAGTGCTAACTAGAATAGGCCAGAGTAAAATACATACGCTGGTGCCAAACTGTTGCCAGGATCCCACATGGCTGAAACCTGTTGTGATTCCAAATGCTGTTATGGCAAATAACACAATTCATAAAACGAATGTGACTGAAGGAATATTTATTCTTCAAAGAGTGAAGACATCTTTAATGTTTTTACTAGTGTCAAAATGCTGGTATGAAGTCCCTGAGGCACAAATTGCTGGAAACTGAGGGAGAACATTCTGGAGAATATTCTCACAGCCTTTTCAATTAAGCGAGGAGAACGTCAAACCAGGCCCTGCAGGGCATTCTGCTACTATTATTCTCTACAGCCAAACAGCAGGCACACTGAAAATTCATGACATCCATTATTCTGAGCAAAACTGTTTCACACGGAATCACAGCTCCCAAAATATGCATTAGCAACAATGTGGAAAGACCACCAATATTATGCATTTCTGTGGTCCTGAAATGGATGTGCCAAAGCTGCTTCCAGAGATACGTGTAATTCCAGACCCAGACATAAGCTTCAGCTTCAGTGAAACCAGGCTCGTGAACTGGGTAAAGACTCCCTTGCAAGTGGGACGGAGTTCAACACTCTGTGTATTGAGAAAGAACGTGCTCCTGGCATGTCTGGGACTCTGCAGTTTGCATCTTCACTGCCACACTTCAGGACTTGTGTTCTGAATTTAATTAAAAAAAAAAAGAGCAAACAAACAAAAAAACCTTACAGTGTCTTTACAGCAAAGTCTCTATACACTTACTTTGCAAAGCCTATAAAATCTTCATGGTTGGTGTTGATGTAAGAAACCTGGATATCAATCAGCAGCAGCATCTGTTAGAGACAGGAGAGAAAAAATTATGGGTAAAGTGGAAGAGAAAGACTGAAGAAAAGGAAGGGAATAAAAACCAGAACTTTAGTGTTTTCTGCATTATTTAATATTGCTTTAACAATTGTTCAAGCCAAAAGTAATATTTTCTAAATTCCACTGCTTCTGTTTCTGTGTTTGTTTAATAAGTTAGACTACAGAAGAGCTATTCCCTCTTCCTATTTTTTCCCTGACAGACCTCATTTTTCACTCTTTTGGCCCTTGCCCACTCCATTAAGATCAATCATACACAGGCAGAGACAGTTTATTAATTATATAACAGATTCTAGCTCTACGTTTTGTAAGTCAAGCAAAACTCTGTCTATCTGTAGCATCCCAGCCAAGCCAGCAAAGAACCTGAACTTTAAACCTAAAATCCAGGTACCTCCATTTTCTTTATGTGCCACACAAAAAAAGTGATGGGCAAGCTAAGCCCTGGCCCAGGAAATGTACAGCCCAGGTACTAGACAGCAATTCTGGTGTGCACATCTGGATTGAGGGATGGGATATCAAAGAAACAACAGAATGCTTTGTGTACTTATCACTTGCCAGTCCTTCAACAGCCCAGAGACAGAATTTGATTCAAACTTTATAATCTAACTCAAGAAAAAAAACTTGCTAAAATATTAGTAAAAGCTCACTGCCACCCTTCAACAGCTCCTGAAACAAAAGACTGCACTTTCCCCCTGTCTTTTCAGACTTCCATGTATCAGCAGGGAGAAAGGAAGGAACCTATTGCTACCAAATGGTAGCACTTAATCTCTTCAAAGTGTATAGAATTATTTTTGTACAGCTCCTCAGACAGAGCATCACTTCCAAATGCTTCACAATTTCCAGAAGACATTAGGGTGCCTCACTTGGAGCAAAAAATAACGGGGATTTGGATCTATCTCTTACCTCTGAAAATATCCTCAGAATTGTTTTATTAATGATAACTGATAACAGCATAAATAATGCTATAAATAAGTGACAATAACCCATTTGGCCAGTTTTTGGTATTTACAGAAAGCTGGTACTTTGTGCTTGGTTCTGGGAAATAGTCAGGCACGTGCACACAACAAAGAATGGGAAAACAAGACTCAATTATTCAAAGTAACTTGTATCTTCTCCCAAATTTTGAGATAACTGAGTGTTCTAACTAGAACTCCCCGCAAGTACAAGCCCGGCAAATAAATTTAATGATTTTTAAGAACTATATTTGCAGCACAGAATAAGGGAAAATAAGCAGGATGTGCTGCACAGCTCTCTAGTTTGTACAGGGACTGGATTACAGAGCCAGGAGTCCAGAACAACTTAGGAGGTCTGCCTAGCTCTTCTTCCCCAAATATTTCTGTTGTCACACTGCACTCTCCAGACAATAATTCCTGTTCCCACTTCCAGTGGATTTTCTAACATGTAATCTAAGCTTTGCAGTTTCCTGGATCTGGAGTGCTTAGCTGGGTGATGAATGCTCTAAACAAGTTTCTCTGAATTTTTGGGGTTTTTTTACATTTTTTGACCTTGAAGGGAAGCTTGTCACTCCTGCAAGAGTATCAGTACCATTAGTTGTGAGCACTGCTGTAATTAGAGGATGGGATGGGTACATTAATAACACCTGGAAACAAAGTGGAAAAAAGGCTGGCTATTTCTGTGTGCAGTTGTTTAATCACTAATGGGCACACTGGCACAGGAACAAGCCAACCCTACTTTAAGCCACTACTTAACCTTTCTGTAACAATTTTAGTCTCCTCTGTCAAAGCTCAATGGTAAAGAAGCAATTTTTCTCCCTCTCTAAAACGTGAAGCCTATTTAAAAAAAAAACAAAACACCAAACTTTCATTGTCTTACTGCACTTTGTATGTAAGAACTTTCCTCCCTTACACAGTTCTCCAAACTGTCAGATCTCCTGTTTATTCTCACCTGATCCTTGGTCTTCTCTTCTCTTTCACGAATGTAACCGGCAACAATTCTTTCTGTTTCCTCACACAACCTTGGATATGTTGCCAACTGAAACACAAAGTTAACAGACACTTACCCCTGCAGTGTGGGCTCCAGTGCAATACAAACTGGGGAGCCTCCAGTTTTCCCCTTTGGAAGAAAGCAAATACTATGAATCTTGGGCTCAAAGTTACCCATGCTGCAAAGCAAGCCTTATTTGCTTTTCTTCAGAGAAACTGGAGAGGCCTAAACCCTTAGCTTGTTTCTATGCTTTTGTTCCATGGGACATACATGAAAAGACACTTCAGACATATGAAAACACAGCCTATCAGCCTTGGGGTGAGGTTTCTCTCTCTTCTACTGTGCCTAATTCCAAAGTGGTATTTCAAACAATTTCCAAATTTCTTGTTCTTTAAAGGCTCCACCTTGTGGTAACATCTTTACATAACAATACTTAAATATAAACAGCAAAATACAATGGTAAATTTGCCCAATACTCTCAGGAAAAGCATCTGCACAATTAATTCAAGTGATGTATCTTCCAAACTTTGACAAAAGTGAAAAAAATCTGGAAACTCCCTTCAAAATATAGCGGTGAATCTGCTTCTCTATGATCTTTGCCTTTCCTGTTTTAAGAAATATCTGCTTTACCTGCTCATCAGTATAAAAAAATTTGCTTTATTCAGAAAAATGCAGAGGATGTGACAGGATATTTCTCAACGGCTTCATCATAATTGTGCCCACATCCCAGAACAGCTCCTGTACTTGCTGCTCTGCACCCTGCACTGAGCTGGTGGGACAGACAGATGGACAGGTGAGACAGTGAAAGTAGCCAGTTAGCTAAGAAGTGTAAACATGGTTCTGAAGAGGAAGCTGGGGGCATCACTTGACTCAAAACCACCTTCTATCATAAGATTTAAAAGAAAGGAGTAAAAAAAAAAAAAAATGAACTTTGCTATCATTACAGTTTTGAGAGCTTTGCAGACGTAATTACTTTAGAAAGTCTTACTCTGTACATCAAGTGACTGGATCAGAAATCTCTTGTAATACTACAAAATGCAGGACAGGCTTTACATTATCTACCACGCCATTACATTTTACTTACGTTACCAAATCTATGTGCAAGTTACCTTTTTAGTGCACTTCTTGACAGTGTTGATTAACTCTTGCATCACCAGATCCACACTTTTTAAGCAAGGTCCTTTCAGCTTAACTATCTGTTTTTTAACAATGGCTTCAAACGCCATATCTGGAGTAAACAAACCTGTTCTGTGGACATAAAAAAATATGTAAGACAGTAACAAAAACATCATGCAAGGAAGATTATTTTTTTTTTTACTGAATTGCTCAAATCTTCATTTTCAGAGCTGAGTGATAACAATCTCTACACGAAGAGACTTCCACAGAACTAAATTTGCTTCTTTCTCAAGCAAGTGTCGTTCTGAGTAACAATATACAAGTAGAAATATGCTCGAAAGACATGCAAGTAGAAACTACTTCCAGATGTCTGCAAGAACTCTAAAGAGTACTGATATAATGCAGTAAAGCCTCATCAGCACTGCATCAAACCTTCCAGGAGGGATGAATGGCAGCTGCAGCACTCCGTGTACAATCACCTGCACAGCAAATCCATAAGAATCCTATATCTGCACTTTTCACTCACACCAGGAAATGTCGTTCTGTTATTCAGGGTCCAACATGGAGAATTTCACAGTTCACTGCAGGGTATATGAAGCTATATAACAGATACCCCACAGAGCCAGTCCTAAACAAATGGGCCTTACTTCTCTTGCAAACACTGCTCACCAAGGTCTATCTTGGAAAATAAATTATATTTAAAAAAAAAAAAAAAATCAAACCATAAAAACATGCCCAAAACTATCAGTTCACTACCATAAATCAAGACCTCCTCATCAACAAGGCAAGGAAAGCTCAAATACCACACCACAGCTACTAATGTCAACCTTCTGAGAACTTACTAACCAAGGAACATAAGGAACAGTTTCCAAAACACAAAGAGCAACAAAGCTTGCAAGCAGTGCTTTCCAAAGATATTACACCTGTATAATGAGACTGGGCTTGAAAACATGGGAGCACTTGCCTGATACCATGTATGTTCTTGATGGCATAACTTATTTCTCTCCGCAGCTCCTTCTCATTGAATTCCATCTAGAGGAACAAAAGCACGTGAGAGCATATTAGGGCAAGTTCTTAATAAAACCAGAAAATATTACCTCTCCTAGTATGACCAGAAGACAGGCAAGTTCAACTGTCAAAATAGTAATTTCTAATAACACTAAACAAAGCATTAAGTATTTTAAAACATTTTAACACTAAGGTTGCAGGCAGCAGTAAGGATTGTTGAAAATCACACACCCAGATATACAAACAGCTGGAATGATTTTGTAGAGTCGACAGAGTAAGCCAGAAACAGGATTTGGAAGATGCTACTTTTTTTTTTAGACCTGGTTTCTTGAAGAGGTGCATCTTCTGTGATTATGGTCTGTTTATCCTCTCCTTCCCTCTCTACTGTTTTTCAACCATATTTAAAAGAGTAGTTGTTTCAATTATGAAGTTATAAAGCTTTTCTTTACGTTTCTTTTGAAAGTCAGCTAGCTGGAAGAGAAGTTAGTGCTGTCACAAACGAAGGGGTCATTACCTCAGCCCAACTATCATAGAATTATAGAATAATTTGGGTTGCAAGGGACCTACCCTGCTCCACCTCTCACTATGAAAGCATAGGACTGAAAGCTGGCTTTGGTTAAATGTACTGAATATGGGAAGTAGAACACACAGAAAATGGTTATTTTCCATAACTCTAATTTTAATAGATACTAGGTCCTTGAACACAGCTTAAATTTACCAACTGGAGTGGTCTGCATGCCCCATTGACCAGAAGAAAGATGCCATTTATGATAAAACAATAGAGAAGCACATGAACTAGTATGAACTGGGACTATAATTATATTCTAATTCATATACTTTAGAATTCTTAGCATGTCTCAGTATCCAAACCTAGAAATTAAACCAAATACCTAAAGTATAACGTCATGTAATTTCTTCCACACTTAAGAGCATGTTCTTCCAATCAGACCTTTTCTTGGCTATACTATTATCAGTATGAACATAAGAATACATAAATAAAGCACAAAGCACGTCAGCAAGACGGATAAATACCTTCACTAGTTCAAAAGGAAAACGTTCATGGAAAATTCGGTTGATTTTGGCACCTCCTGAAAGTTCTAGTGTATCAACTTGATCTCCTGATCCTTCAATTCTTTTTTCAAAGTCCACTGAAAACTGTTGTACCATCCTAAATTTTAAAGGGGGTGAGAAAAAAAAAAAACCAAACAACAAACACAACCACTTAAGTATGTCAAGTACTAACTCTTCAGTACTACTGACCACTAGTGCCTGATAAAACATGTTAAGGAATTGACAAAAGTATCTTTGAACAACAGTTGATTCAGTCAAGCTGTCAATTCATAAAATCCATACCTACACACATTCCCCTGCATCTCTTCTCTCTTGTAGGACACTGCACAGTATATTTTTTTCTTTCTTCATAAATGTTGTGGGTGGGGGAAGCACTGTTTATTAAACTTTATTATAAAGTCAGCTAAAAATACAGCAGGGTACCAGGCTACATTCATTTTTTATCAATGATAACACAATTTTAAATGATGCTATTACTTATTAAATAGATGTTTAATTATTTTTTTAATGAAGAAAAAGTGATAGCAGTCTTTTTAGTAGGATAAGAAAATAAGAGTCCTGACATTTAAGTTATAATACATAATGTATTTGAATAGAAAAGCACATTCATATTCAGATGCTGCTACAGAAACTGCAGACAAGGCAGACCACCACAAAAAAATATCCCCAATTTTATGGCAGTTGGTACAATCTGCAGAGTTTATTTCTCCACAATGACCCTTGGATCTTCCTAACATGGCCATGTGGCAGCTGTCAGTACCACAAGCCCCAGCTCACTTGGTTGTGCTTAGACTTCTGCAGCAGGAGCATTCAGAAAAACACACAGGAGAATTCTTCCAGTCATGGAAAAGCCAAAGGTGATGGCCCTCTGTTTGTGCAACTAAAACATCTGGAGTAAAGTCATGAAGAACTGACTTATGTCTACTCTTTTGGACACAGTTGTTACAAAAATAAGGAGTAAATTGGAGTCTTCAGCTGACTCAAGAAAGTTTCTCTAGTTCAGCTGAATATTTTCCCTTCTGAATTTCAGACTTCTAAGTACAGAATGAATCTTGCACAAAACTCATGCATTATCACAATCCAGTGCTATTACCATCTATCTCAGAGAACTCAGAATGCCGAAAACCTTTGAAATCAGTCAGAGCAGGAATGACAACAGTCACATAAGAGACAAGAGCTAGGTACATTTTACACCTCTCTTTCCCCCTCTGCATGCTTCCTCTCCTAAGAGGTACGTTTGAATTGCATATGAACACAAGAGTGGCTGCAGAGGGTTACAATCTTAAAAAAAAATGGGAGAACAAAAATGGCAGACCAGTATTGGGCATCTCTGGAAACAGAGCAGGTAAGGAAGCAGCACTAAGCAAAGCAACAGGTGCCAAGTGGTGTTCAATCTGAAACATCAGTATTGGCCTTTTTCCATAGTGCTAAATCCACAATCAAGAAAGGGCTCTGATTCCAATTCCACATGATTCAAAGTCAGATGAACATTATCTCTGTTCCGTTCCTTTACAAGGGTGTTATCGAAGATCTCTAGGTCTTAGGTGCACAACACATGAAGGACTACCATCTATGATTAATTTTGATCTTGCCATCTTTGAGTTCTTTTGGAAAGACAAGTTTTTATATCAGAAAAAGAAGCATTCCCTACTCTCCTTCCACCCTCCTCATCTTACAGACTTCTAACACAATGTCCTTCCCTTGCTTGAGATCATCTTTCTGGCAGACAGAAGAATGTGTCCATACAATCAGAAGCAGTTTCTTACCTTTGATCATCTCTGATGCCCATCTTTATACCTTTTCCTTGCTCTGCTTTCTCTCTTTCCTAGGATTACTAAAATTAATTTAGGGAAAACTGCTGAAATTGTAGAGCATATAAAGTGTTTGGGAACATCAAACACAGAATTCCTTGGAGTTCACATATAGAATCCTTAATCATATCCTGATCTTTAGATTTAAACCCATTAGAAAGAAGAAAAAAAAGAAGTAAAACAAACCTATACAGAGCAGAAAAGCAGACAAAAGACACTCACTGCAACAGGGCTTTTGTTTTTCTGGTTGGATCTTCTGGTCTGAAGTTTTTGTATACCTCTACTTCATGTTCTATAGAAAGCAGCTGGCTCTGGAGTTTGCTTCTGAAGGCTGGCAGAGTATCCCGAATATGATTGGTAAGTTGCTAAAAAGCAAATAAAAGTCCTTTGATATTGTAAATAAAGATGAAAGCAGGAGCACAACCATTTCTTTCTGACTGCCAAGCTTATCAGCCACGACCTGTGCTAGTTTACCAGGGCAGTTCCTTTTGATCTCTGAAGTAATGGAAGCTGTTAAAGAACAATACAATATTCTTTGTGCATACACATTGTAAAGAGGCTCCAGAAATTCCTTTGTCCTCTCACTCACTGAGCCCTGTTACTACATACCTACCTAGTTACTAATGAAAAAGTTACACACATTACATGTGTAATTTGAAATGACCTCTCATCACTCAGTGCTGATGCCATCACTCCTGTTTTGCTGGTTTTCCTAAAGGTGTTTCCCAATTCTGTACGTGCTTCTTCAGCGCGATGACTCCTTTGCAGCCACAAGGCAATGTGGGACAAGAAGGAGATTCTGAGCATCCACATCCCATTGATGGGCATTACTCCACAGGTGGAGGAAAGTACAGACACCAGAGTAGCTTCTTGGCACTTTCCCAAGTGATTTTTGCTCCCTTGTGCAAAGCATACTAAAGGGAAGAGATTTGTCCCTCATATTAATGATTTTATAACTTCTCCTTTTTTTAAACACTTGATTTTTGGCTGAAAAAGGTTCTACCACTACTCATTAGTTTCGGTTTTTGTTTCTGAAAATATACCTAAATGTGCTGGAAAATAAATTGAACAAGAGTAGAAAAGGACTTACAGATCTGTGTTTAACTTGCCTCACTTGTTTTTGCGTATATATGTTTTACTCTGTTGGACAACACTATCAATGTCTTACCTGTGCCATAAATTTCTCATGCATTGTACCCATTCTTTAATTAAAACTAAACTGGGCTTCTTGCACTACGCCCCAAACCCTTTTCCCAACCCCAATCAAACAAGCTATAAATTCAGAATGTCATATACCAAAATAAACTCAAATTTAAAGTCGTTCACCAGACTGACAGGCACAAAATCGAAAGCTGGAGTTTCCCTGGAGCACCACCTTGTGGATGCCGAGAAACTGAATTATTACCTGAAACCACAAACACTAACAGGTCCCCAGTATCTTAAGGACAAAACTTATGCAGATCTTCCCACATATAATATTCTACACACAGTAAAAGCAACAAAAGATCAAAAATTCCGACTGAAGCAGGTAAATTTTCAAAACAGCTCACAAAAAATTTAATAGTATATAAAGTAATGAAAATCAGGACAGATAAGACTGTCCAAAGGTATATGTAGCTTGTGCTTCAGTCTCAAAACTAGGACATGTGAATTAAACTTTCAATATATAAAAAGAGGCAAAACATTCTAAACACAGGCAAAATTGCATCCTTGTTAGGGTCACAGGCTGGTCAAGCTAAGAAAGGGCTCTACAAAAAGAGCAATACCCAGAGACCCAAAATGGTGAAGAGAACTCCAAGCCTGCTGTAGGCAGGGCCTTCATTAGGACAGTAAGCTATGGCTTTCTCCTCCAGGTAACTGGGAAATAGCTCTATTTCCAGCTGAAGGAAGCTGGGATCCAACACAGTTTGGCACAAACTTATAGATATAAAACAGAGCTTTTGGCAAAAATAAAAGTAGGGTGGCAAAGTGTTCTGATTACTGTATTTGTCATTTATATCATTAGTACACAGTATATGTTTATAGTAACAACTACAATAAAGTGTACATTTTGAGGTTAAAGTACAGACACACAGTGCATCCTCAGGATACATGACTTCTAAAAATGTCTTTTTTTTATCTCTAATTTCTAAATTTGAGTACTAAGAATCCTGTTAAGAGAAATGTGATAAGAAAGGAATAGGATGGTGTACTCCCAGGAAGGGAGACAAATCTTATTTTTGATGTTCATATTCAGTATTCAAGAGAACAGGGAGGTGCAGAACTGTCAATAAAAGTCAGAAACCACATCTCACAGCAAGCTTTTGTATGCTACAAGTAATATACAGCTTTGTTTTTATCTTGTGCAAATTAAAACCATTAAAAGCAGGAAAGAATAACTGAGGTTCAGTGACCAACATTCATTTTAATAAAGCTTTTGTGTTGGTCCTACCGTTATAAAGCTGCCTTTCACCACCAAGGCTTCAGGTTTTACCTGGTTTAGAACTTTCTGGAGATACGGTGTTCCCATCCGATCTGCCATGTGCCTGTAGGATGGGTGGGAAAGAAAGAATTTCCTTTCTGCTAGAAGAGCTGCTTTTATGTCCTTCTTCCCATCAATGTCTTTCTGGCTTCTGTTTACAACACCAATATAACCTAAAACAACACAAAACCAACAGGTAAATCAATGCAGCTATTGCCTGAACTGCTGAATTCACCTTGACTAGAACTAAACTTTCAGATTTAGGCATTTCAGATACTGTTTACAAGTACTCAAGTGCCCTTAATGCTGTCTAAATTGTTCATGCTGTTTAGATATAACAGATACACTTACTTTTAAATCATCAGTGCAAAAGAGAAATATATGAAATTCTGGCAAATCCCAAAGAAACCATTTCAAAAATAAACCAACAAAAAATCCAAACCAAAAATCAAAACACACACACAGGTCCACACAGATAAATGATGTAATATTAACAAAATACAGAAAAAATTTCTCATTTGCTGGATCAATGGGAGGATATGGTAGTTTCATCCATAAATTATAACTAGAATCAAAATTATTACTATTATTAACAGCATGAGCAACTGTGGCAGTAGCTGCCAGAACAACCACATGGAAGATTTCTGGAAAGTATCATAAATTGTTTTATAGTGAAATTACCAAAGCTCTGGTGCTTGTTGCTGTCACATGCAAAGAAAAAAAAGATTCATGTGTTACAAGTGACAGCAATCTGGCAGAGAAGAAAAAAATTGGCTAAAAGCTTGTGCTGACATTTCTTGCTTCCTCTGGAATATGCAGTTTGTTTTCCAGGTCCAGAAAAAAACCTTATTTTACTTGCAGGATATTTTTAGCACAGCCATCTTTTAGGTTTGGTGAATAGATATATCTGTAAAAGCAAAGAACTCATCAAGTCCAGCACAACCTTTGATTCATCTCCAGGACTCACAAACACTACCCTTATCCAAACCACTTTCTGGATTGCAAAGAATACAGGCAACTGAACATTCTCACCTCTACGAAGAGGGAGTAGTTTGTTTTCTAGAACTTCTCTCGCATCTGTTCCTTCATCCATCAGATCCAATTTTGTGATCACACCAATGGTCCTAAGACCTGACCAGGGTGGAGACAGGAGGAAAAAGTTACTGAAGAATCATTTTGATTCAGGAAGAACAATTAAAATTATATAATAACAGACATGTAGCCTTCTCAAAGCTTGTATCACACCCTACCAGCTACAACTCAAGTTATGGTATGTCTGGAAAAGAAGGGAACAGAATTGCTGAAACGTGTTCCTCAAATCTCTTTAACACGGCTCAGCATCCCTACAGTATGATTGTATAAAATTCATAATGCAAGTACCCAGAAATCCCATCAGGACCACGGCCCATTTTGCCTGATACTACAAAAATTCCTAGATAGGCACTGTTGCACTTGCTTATAAGAGACAGCGACAAAATTTTTAAAATACATTTACAGCAACATTACCAGAACAATACTGACCTAACCCACCGTTGATGCTGAAGGCTGCATGAGAATGTACATATGCATCTATTTAACATACTTTCCATTATAAAATTTCACACAAGAGTTGATCTATTACTTCCAATTATGTTCTTACACTGAGAACACAAAGTGGTAATCCATCAATGCTTACCCTGAGGGTCCACTTCCTTCGCCAGCTTCAGGGCATCAGAGTTGGCCAGATCAGTGTTGGCTGGAGTCACAGCCAGGATGAGACAGTTTTCCCGGGATATGAACTGCATTATCATGTCTCTGATCTGTTGCTCAATATCTGGAGGCTGATCCCCTACTGGCACTTTAGTGATTCCCGGCAAATCAATAAGAGTCAGGCTTAAGACTATACAGAAAACACAGGATCACAGAAGTGGTTAGCACACCAGACATGTCGAAGAGGTCTACACATCCATAGCTGCAGGCAAATTTTAGTCACATAAAAGCCCTTTATGACCTTTACAGGCATATAAACATTGTCAGCAGTTCAAACAAAATGCCTGCCAATCTGAGAGGTATATTTGTTTCCCTGTTGGTCCTTCATCTCTGAATTTATTAGTGTTACTTAATATTTTAAATGTTACAACTGGTATAAGTATCATCTTATACCAAATATCCTTGAGGGCTCTTAGACAAATGAACATGGCCTTCTGAGCTTTGTCCCACAACAAGAGCACAAATAACAGACCATTCCCATTGCATCCTTCAAATCAATGCAAAACAGTTGTTTGGGTGGTTGGTTTTTTTTTTTTTTAAATATAGTCTTTCTCTGACCATGCTTTGAACAATGTCTCCAATTAAGAAATTCCCAAAAAAGTCAATAGCAGGCCTAACTGATATAGCAAAATTGTTGTTAAGAGGTTGGGGGGGTATATTGTTATTCTGAAGGTTTGGGGGTAATTTTTACTCTGCAACTTCTTCAGAAAAGTAATAAATATGAAGAAGTTAATCCACTAAGAAAACCTGGTTTGCTCTGGCATGATTTCCCCAGTACAGGCCACAGTGCCAACTAGAAGCATCCCAGCTTGTTCAGCCAGTACTGGGGCAATAGGGTATTCTTTAGACAAATGAGAAAAATGCTATTTGTAGAAAGGAAACACCAGAAGTATATTTTGAGTCTGGTTAATACAGACAGGAGTTGCTGAACTAAAGACTGATTTTACTAAAACAAAGTAAGAGCAATAGGTAGGAAATTTTCACTTTCTCCTGGAGTCAGCATGTTCAACCAACAAGCTTTGAGGCAGTGGATTTAGTTCAGCCCCTCTCCAGTTAGAAAAATAAAGTGCTTCAGCCAAACATACCACTTTTCTCCTGTATCAAAGACAGACTCAATGGGAAACATTTTCCCCGTGACTGCCTTCATTAAATTGGGCAGATGGTAACCAGAGGAACTAACTTTGATCTATACTGGGGTCTAAAACAGAAAGCAGCTTCAAACACCATTATTGTCTGAACATGTTTTTAGTGACAGGGAACAATAAACTTCCAGCAAGGCAGGGAGACACTGTGACTTTCTAGATCACTGATCAGGGAATCCCTCTGGAGGGTGCAAAAAAGTTTTGCCATTAAGTCTCTCATCTCCTATTATTTGTCTTTACTAATGAGCTACCATCTCATGAATGTACTGGGGGAGAGACTGCTTCCATCCTGAGGCAGAGTGAGAATATTTTTAAATAAAGAGAATATTAAATGGGGCAGAGAATCTGTGTTCTGCCCATCTCTCATGGCCAACAGCTCTCCACTGTAGAGCTGTAGATCCCAGAAGATCGAGCAGTAAAAACAAAAGGGCAATGGACAGACAGACAGAGCTACACAATACATTATATGACAGAAGTGTAGAGGAGAATGATTTTACCTACCATGTGGAGAATATACTCTTAAATTAATAGGAATTGAAGAAATGCCTTTGTTCATTCCTGTTACTCTATCTGTTTCTGCTTCGATTTCCTGACGAACTTCATCAAAATCAGTAAATTTCTTCCCTTTGCAGTGTAGAAATTCAGCATACTCTGTGAAAAATGTCAATAATAACTGTTATTTCACAGGCTTATCGACTTGGACACCCACTTTCAAGGTCCTAGTGGTCTTCAGATGTGTGTGCACAGAAGCACACCGTCATGGCTATCAGGAAAGCATTATTGTGATTACACATGTGAAAACCAGTCTGCAACGAGAAAGGCTTAGTTAAAAAGTCAAGTTGTCTGGAAATGATTTAGTGCTCTTATCTTTAGCACATCATCTTCTGGAACAACCTGAAAGATTCAATTAGATGCCATTTACAGTAATAGAATAAGGAACAGATTGTGAATCAGATTCTGAATTTTCATCTGATTACATTTGCCTGTAATACATCACCAAATTGAAAAGTAATTCAAGTTCTGTATTATGAAAGATTATTAGCATTTGTTTCAAACACTAACAGCCCATGTCATGCACAAATTTAGCAAAGGAATTCTGTAAGTTTTTACAAGTTCATAATGAAAATAAGATCAGTTAAAAACACTGTAATGTTTTCAACACAACTCCTCATTCCCTAAATCTTCCAGTTGTCTAAATCCAAATCACGCAAGTTTAAGTGTCTATAGAAATAGCTGTGATTTTGCTGAAGGGGGAGAACACAATTAATTCCTAAGTTTTCCTTATCATACAACTTGTCCTGTTACCTTAAAAGGGCATTGACCAGGAATCAGGGTAGATACAGCCTAATTTGTTAGACCCAAACTTGACACTAGGTCCCTGTTTTGACTTTTGAATCCCAATATTGATACTAATTACCACAACCTTTTGGTTGCCTGCATAACCATGTTCCAGGATTTTAAAACTGGACTTTCTTCCCTCAATAAAGAACACAGAAGTTGATGTCACGTAGCAAGGCTGCAATCAGAAACAATGACAGGAGTGGTAATCACAGGTCCAGCTCCCATCCTGTCCCCACGGGGTCTAAGCACTAGGACTGGAGAAGGGCTGAAAAGAGGCGTGTGTGTTCCACTTCATTTCATCCTGCAATTAAGGCCTGACTTCAAAGTTCTGTTTAGATGTTTCTTCCCCAGAAAATGTTTCTTGGTTACAAGCCCTCAAACACCAGGGGAAGGAGCTTGCTTGGTACTCAGAGAAAGAACAGCAGCTCAGGAGAACTAATCTGAGAACAGGGATTAATAGAGGACCTTATGAGTCAGTACTGAAGCCTGTTACCCAAAAGTCACTTTCTTACTATTATCAACAGAGCTTTTTAAATAAAATAAAATTAAATGTAAAAAAAACCCTACAACAATAGTTAAAGCAAACAGAGATCAAAAAAAAAAAAAAAAGACATAGAGGAGGGGAAAATAACAAATACCAACCTTTCTGTGCTACAATACCATAATCCCTCCAGATTCAAACTGTGAGGAACAGGGAAACTCACCTTTGTTAAGACAAAAATACATCACTTATTTTAAAAATGAGACCACCCACCAAAAACCCTCTGCCTCACTTTTGACAATTTAAACATTCCAGAATATCTTAGATTCTCTTTTTAGCTCCAGCAGCAAAATTACAATGAATGTGGAGTTTGTTTCACTGCCAACTGTTTATTTAAAAAGTCAAGGAATATTCAAATACTTCAAAATGAAAAATAATATTGCGCACAAAATAAAAGCGCTCTGTTGCTCTAGCACATTTGAGAATTTACATTTGTCAAATTTGTCATCTTAAAGTTGGAAAACATCTACCTCATTAAAAAAAGAGCTGACATACTTTTTCCCAGTTCTTCATGCGCTGCTCCTGGCATAAAACAATGTATTCTTCTTATGTTTTCATCAGATTTTCTCAGAAAAATCTTTCTAAATTCAGTAAGTAATACTTGGTGCCGAGCTGGAATCAGTTGGCTGATTCAGCTGATTGCCAAGGAAGCTTTTCTTTTTGTTCCAGTTCACACTCAGGAACAGAAAGAGTCGCTCTCTGAAATGGCTTCAAGGTAATAAAAAGAAAAATGTTTGTTACTTTTTAGCTGTGTTAATGCTTGTCAACAACTCATCCCTCCCAGAGGCATCTGAGGTCCCACCAGAGCTGCAGGAATAAACTTCACCGGGGTTCTTAACCTGTGGTGCCACACACAGCCCACGGAATGAAAATTCAAACGGACAAGCGGCGCTTTGTTTTGCTCCTTTCAGCCCTCAGCCTGTCCCTGGCAATGATGCCTTCAGCCACACTGGAGAAGCACATGCTTTAATGCAATCTTCACTTTCCAGCTTTCATACACAGAAGAATACTAAGGAAACATTTCACTTACATTTTTGTGGGAATGGACACAAAGCCAGACAAGAAAAAATGATCCTGCCTGATGTCCAGTTTTCAAACACGTATTTTTTTTGTATAGAAAGGAAGTTACATTACAAGAAGGAACAATTAGATACAAAATTAAAACAGTCTTTGCATGTAAAATGCTTCCTTTCCTGCCCCCCCCCGATTCATTAAAAGCACCTTGGATGATGTAGAATGAAAAGGCCACCATAGCATAGTTCCTTGAGTGCATCCACAAGTGATTATTTATCTCTTCAATTTTTACTAAATTAGAGAAATAATACAGAGAAGTGTTATGGGACAACATCTTTTAAATGCTCCTAATTTTTCCAGTCAGTTATATCTCCCTATGCTTTTATGATTTAATCTTGTTTATGATTTTATATTGTTATTACCAATAAACAGCCACTGCTGTTCTCAAACCACTCAAATTACATCCACACTTGAGATGTTCCGTAGATTTGTCTCTAAGCCAAAGAGAGCTGAGTGACAAGACACGGATCAGCCCTTAGAAATACAAAGGAGATGTTTTGGAAAACATCCTTGATCCACATCAGACTGAGCCCAAGACCTTCCAAAGCTCAAAGACTTTACCCTGTACAGAATAACCTGTTACTAGAGGTCAGGAATTCACCAAGATGAGAGACCAGGACTCAGAACTCCTCTCAACCTGATTTCAAAGAGTTGCTCCAAGTTGGTAATAGTATCCAGTCTAGAACACTCAAAAGAGCTTGTGAGTTTTCCAAAAGGGTGGTTCATTAAATTGTAGGCCTCTACCAATCATTTTAAACACATACAGTAAAGGGGGAATACCTGCTATTATTGCATCTTCTACCTCCCAGCCCCTTAGAGAGATGTCACCCAAGCAACAACAGTCTTGTTGACTCCAACAAAGCACCTCACAAAGCCTCAGAACGCTTTTCAAGGGTGATTTCAAGAGAGTGATCTAAAAACAGGCAAATAAACACCATCAGCAAAAGTACATCACCTCTTCTTTGATGATGGACCAGCTTTTCCTGAGCAAAGCAAATGCAGTTAAGTGAATCTGGACCACAGCAAATCATTCAATAGTGCTTCTTTGAAAAGAGAGGCAGCATCAAAAGCCCTTGTTGTCTTAATCTATAATCTGTCTTCTACTTCACCATTTCTGAAGCTTTGCTAACAAGCTGAAGATGAAATATTCAAACTGAGGTATTCCCCTGCTAACCTTCAAGCAGAAAGGCTACAAGAAATAGAAGTACCCTGGTGTTTCCAGAAGACAAACCAGAAAATCTTGTCAATGCAGAGGATTCCAAGAATATCACAGCACAAGACAGAAAAGTATTGAAAACAGTGTAGATCTGATGAAAATAACTGGCATAAAATACCAGGTCACACTCCTAGGAACCAATGAAATGGTTAATTATAAGGGCAGACACTTGTAGCAAAGAATGCAATAATCTTCCACATCTTTGAAACTTTTCATTTGTAGAAGAAATATATCTCTGTTCTTTCAACCTTCTCCTATTGATCATGCTTTCCAAACTTCCAATCACTCACACAGCCATCCTCCAGGAATTTTTCCTAAGGTCACGAAGGCAGAGCTCTTACCAGAGCTCTCTCTCCTTCCCAGGACTGAGAAAAAGCAGAACTAGTACTTGTAGGACTGCATTTCTGTGATGCACCCTGTACAGTATTCGTGTCTGTATTTTACCACAGCACATCAGTGAGTTACGTTCTGTTAAAGATTCACTGTGAGCACCAGGTCCTTTTCTGAAAACATCAAGTACCAGCCTTTCAGTACAGAAATTGTCTTATCCCAACTGAATTCCTTCCTACTTTGGGGGCATTTCTCTTCTTTTGCAAGCAATCTAAATTCAAATTCTGCCCTCCAGTATCTTTTATATTCTCATTTGTATTTCCCAAACACAAACTTAATGAGCATACTTTATTCTGTCATCCTACCAATAATACCAAATACTGAACATGACCTGGAGGGATGTCCCTTCCACTCTGTAAACAACTGTGCATCCATCTACAGGAGTCCTTTCTAAATCATGTTTCCCAAGATTGCTTATTATATTTAAAAAAAAAATCAAGATAATTTAAGAACCCTTACTGTACCCAAGATAAGACACCACCACGGCTTAATTGACAAGCCTGACACCCTGTAATAAAAAAGTATATTGCACTGATATGACAGGGTTATCTTCCTTGATGATTTGTGTTGGCTGCTGTTCATCTCAAAATATCTTTCAGATTGTTAGTTAATAACTAATTACAGATTTCTTTTTCTTGAAAGTAAACTTTGATTCTTCTATCACTTTTTTATAAATATATATATATATATCTTTCTGAGGATGGACAATTACAGAGACATTTTCCATTCTTTCAGTGAGGGGATTCCATCTTTCCTGGTGTCACTGAGCATCAATCTGGGATCAGGGAAACAAAAGCTTCCAGGCAAAACTACTTGTATTGTATTTGTGGGTACAATTAATCTGGCCCAACGTGAGCTGAAGCCCCTTTGACAGTGCTCATGGGAGATCTGGCCGAGCCCTCCAAGCCACTCTGCCAGACCTCCACAGTCTCTGCGGATCAGCACAGCTTCCCAGCACAGCCAGGGACACTGGCAGGTGCAAAGGAACATTTGTAGTCCCTACAACCTCACACTGAGCTTAAACTCAGGCTCCAGATCGGCAGTGTTATCCCTTTTCCAGGATATCGGTCCTGTGGGGGTGATGAGCCTTCCATTGGCTCAGGAATGGGTCACCAGTCCCTACCTCCTTTTCCCCATGGTGGTGTCACTTTTTAGCTTTTGGGCTACGCACCTCAGTAATTTTTTTGGTCTCTACAGCATCCTTGTTCATCACCTGAATGAGGAGCTGCCAGGGAGTGGCATCCAGAAGACCGCAGCCACTGTCTTTCTTTTCTCCTTGCAAAGTGCCCAGTCTCTTCCCTACTATTGACACTGTGGCATTTTTCTAGTTTTTGTCCTTTATGACCTCCACATGCCTTCCTGCTGATGAAGCCTCTAAGATCATTTGTGTTAGCTGAAATAACCAATCTAAATTATTTTTATAATTTTTTCATATTCTGTTAGAGAATTGCTTTTGCCACCAGAGGGCAACAGAAGATGGCTATCCTCGAGGAATAGTCTTGCAACAAACAAAATTTGGATTAAAGCTCAACAACTTCAATAGAAGAGAGCATCTGCAAGACTTCAGAAAAAAACAGGATGTCTTTTAAACCTTATGTTTGCTTTCCACTTAGTATTTAATTAACAAAACTCAAACAAATGTGGGTATTGTATGTAGGACTCATTCATGTAAAACTGCCCACCTCAATAATGATTTTCAAAATCTGTTAATCTGCTGAAGCAAGAAGAAAATCTGAAATTCCTCCACAAACAGTTGACAAAATGATGAAAATAACTCTCCTAAAGCCAAGATATTTAACATACAAATAACAGGTTTATATAGCAGGCAATGTGCTTTTAACAAACAGAAGACCTACTACAAAGGCTTCACCCAAAACCCAAGAGCATTTTTTGTTGCCTCTGCTGTTTAAAAAACATACTACCAAGTCTCAAGAAATGTAGTCATTATTTCACCTGCAGAAGCAGGAGAAAGCACAGCAAGAGGAAGAATAGATTGCTTAAGGTTATACAGAATATGTGGCAACTGAAAAAAACCATGAAACAAAAAGCCAACATCGCTCAAGATCTTTCTCAGGCATTTCAAGTCATTACCTTCTCAAAGACTCCTCAGCAGCACCATATAAAAGTTATGCTAACACTGGCCAAACTTGCAGAGAGAAGATTAGGAGCTGAAATGGAACTAACTGGGTTGGGCATATGATACGTTATGTTGCTCCAAGACAACTGAACACTCATACAGCCTTAAAATTCTCACCCCAGGTCAGTTGTGTGCCAACACTTATATCTTAAAGACACACGGAGAGAAATCCACCTAAAAGCCCAACTACAGGCACACATACAGCATTCCTGCTCCTGAAAAGCAGGAGTAAGAGAGTGAGAGACCAGCACTCTGCACTCACTGGGAACTGCTGAAATACCACAACACGCCCCATTTCAAACAAATGCTGCCTTGGTGAGAAAGCAGGAGCTCCCTGGATCTAACACTGCAGCACTCAAATACAGAAAGAACCAGTGTGTCTTTTACCTGAATTTAGAAATCAGACTCTCACAAAATAAGCTGCCCTCACATCCAACTTCTCACTCAAAAAAAAGGCAGGTAGAACCCCTCCCACGTGCATCCTCTGAATGGCTAACTTATGACAGCTGTCTTGCCCACCCTGTAAAACCTCAAGCTGGCCACCAGACAGGCTCCCAGCTAAGAGCACCTGTGCCTTCTAGAACTCACTTAACTGCACCTTCCCAGGTGGGACTATTTTCTTCAAACCCATTAATCTAACCTGAGCTCCTTCAGAGGCTGGCAACAACAGAGAACAAGCCATAATCTTTCAGAGGACTGTAAATTTTTTAACGTCCATATTCTGACTTTTTCGATGCTATTAGGTATTTCTCACATGATCAAACTCAGAGAAAAATACTCAAAACTAATTAAGACTATCTTGTCAGTTGCAATATTTAATTAAAACCTTTCTATTTGCCTCCAGTATTTCAGTTGAGTACAGTATTTGCATGGATGTGAAAATGTCATAAAGCCATTTAGAAATTGTACTAGGATCACCAAAATATGCCAGTGACTAAAAGAGGTCAAAAGGTCACTGCAAAATAGCTTTGCATTAACTGCACAGAATTTCTAAAAAAGAGGAAGTAAACAAATTTCTAAAAAAAAAATTAAAAATACTCCACTCCTCTCATGAAATAAGTTTCTTAGTATTAATTTGTTTCATGTTACCCCTTGCAGAGGTAACAGCTCTTTACCCAGGTGTGTCAGATCTTTCACATGTTGGGGGGCCCCTGGTAATTCCTCACAACCAATTCCTGTTGCACCTTTCCATGACATGTCCAACCCTAATAATGGATGGTCACAGTTCCCTCTTACTGTGATGAGCACAGATGCCTCTGCTGCTTCATCCCTTACTGCAATGGCTCAAAGCTAAATGAAGCTTTAATCTCCTCTGTCAATCAAATTCACATTCCAAACCATTCTCAGCCAGTTCCAAAATGCTGATAAACTATCTTGTAGTCATCTCTGAGTGTCTGTATAGAAAGTGCCCCCCTCTCTCCCCAGGAATACTATAAGATTAGGAATAGCTACTTTTAAGAGAGTCTAGAAAGATCCTTGGATCAGAAATAAGTTCTTACTACAGCACCAAGAACCTGATACAGCCCTCCAATTATTCTATAACATTTTAGATATTTATGGCCTTGATAGAAATCAGTCCAGCATCAGCTTCCTGTAAAAGAACACTGTGCTTCTCTAAGCAGTTTGCTTTATTTTCTTTTCTTAAAATTAGTTCACAAAGATAAAGGTGGCTTAAAAGATAAAGTTATTTGGAATTTCAACACCCAAAACAACAACAGGGAACAAAGTTTAAAGAAAGTAACAAAATAATTAAAAGGTTTTGGCATCTAGTCTCAAACAAGAAATACACAGCATTTCCCAAAGGGAGAAATATGCCTTGACATCCAGGAAACACAAAATTAGGCCGAAACTTCAGTTCTCCAGAATTTTTAAAGTTCCTGTTGTGTTATTTAAGTCATAATGAAGAATGAATTTTCAGCAGAGAAGGTACCTATACAAAGCCTGTAGGCCTACCTAAAGCTAGTAACACATTGTGAACATATTAATGAGGAAAATACCGGAAAGAGAGAAGCCATTTCAGTGTCCCCTCAACCAAGGGACAATGGTGACTTTACAGAATAGGACAACATGGACCAGTTTAGGATGGATGTCAACGAATAAGTATGTAACCACCTGAGGTCAGAGTGTGAGTTTTTACTTTACTCCCTGTCCCCAGTTTAGTAATTTTGTTAGGAACACCAGCACAGAGCCCAGTGCATTTTTTTCTTCTACTCTTACATGGTCCTGGGAAAATTAGATTGAGACTCTCCATAGCTGGGCCTTATTCTTGCATTTATTTCTGCATGCTCTGTCAGAGATCAAATGCCACATATGCAGAAATGGCAGGTGTGTATATCTCCAACTAAAACTTCATATTTAATATATAGGGAACACTATAAGCATATTACACACTTGGAAATCCTGAAGTTTCTAAACTGAGCATACAGAAACATTGAATTTAACTGTTTTTAATTTCTCTTCCACAGCATAAACACTATGGAAAATTTCACAGAGGCATTGAAAGTATGAACGTGCTTTAAAAACAATAATCCAGAAAAAACCCTGAAGCCTAGACAGACAGCAGTCTACCTTCCTGATGAACAATGCAAAGATCTTTTAGGAAAAAATACTCACAGAAGCTCAATTACACCTCATACATAAGGACAGAATGAAGTTTCACAGGCAGCTTAGTGGTACATACAAAAATATTTATATTTTTGACCAGACAAATACATAAAGCCTTGTTTTCCCCCAATCTACCTTCTGCTCTATTTAGTGCAGTGAGCCCAACCAAAAAAGACAAGTTACAAAAACAAGCTGTGTGGAATCAAATCTGTGTGCACTGGAGCAAGAGTTAAAGGCAGAAGTGCAGCAATTTTGGTGTGTTAACTAATACAGATGCAAAGCTCATCAAGGAATGAATAAATCAAAGCTAATTTCTAAAACACACTGTATGTAATGATGCTTCTCCGCTGCTTCGAGTGTGATCTTGGACTGATTCGCTACGTGCTCTAGGATTTAGATGTTACTGCTTTCCCAGACAGGACAATGAAATTAGCTGGTCCTGAGCATACAGCTTTAAAGCAGCAGGCCCTTGTTCCAGACAGTCTGGTGGCACCTTTCTTCACAACTTCCCAGAAAAGTTTTTCCTCCTGTTGAAATACAGCAGCACTTTGTCCAGGCATTGACCCAAAAAGAGAAAGAAATTACCTGTTTTGGCAGTGATGAGTTGCAGGACCAATGGTCGTCTTGTCACAATTCCAGAACCTCGTGGAAGAAAATCCCTGGAAACATTAAAAAAAATACTTACTACCCAGAAAGTACTGTCCACTTACATAAGATATTGGACTAATTTGGAACCTCCTCTATACCTTGAGCTGCAGTGAAAATGGAAAGTTCATGGGGACAGATTTATATTAAACACTCCTATAAAATAGGGCTGTTAATTTTGGTTTGAGATAGCAGTAGGTTATTAGACAAATATGAATTAAAACTAAATTACTGTCTCAGGGTATTACCAAGCCTCTTCAAGGCCATTATATATAACACCTCAAAATTCACATTGCTTAGCAAGAGTACCCAAAGCCAAGCCCAAATTTATCAGGCTCTCTAAAATAATTGTGTCATCGATCTACACTTGATTTGCAGAGGATTTGCACATATGAATACACACACAGCCCACACCAAAGCTCTGGCCAAACCAAACTGCCAGCACTCCACACCTACTCTTTCACACACTTCACTCCTGCCAGTTCAAATCCCCAAATAACCTTTCCAGCAACACATCTGCCCAGAAGTGTTTGAGTGAAAGCTGAACACTGTGGGGCAGCAGGAGGGGTTGTCCTTGGAACACAACACAACTGCAAACAACGAAGCAAAGACAACAACTCTGTCTGATCATGCCTCCTATGATCCTTCCATGCTTCCAAAGATAGGGAGACTCCTCATGCAACTGAAACCCTAGAAAAACTTTGAACCAATTATTAGTTGCAAAACTAATGATTAGAAATCCAAAGCAAAATAAAAGACATTTTTCTCAGAGTCTTCCCCAGCTGCCATAAGTGTTAAACTCTTAAAAACGATGAGATAGGTTAAGTGAGAGGTTTTGAAGAGTGTTCCCTTCAAAATAGCATCTCCAGAGGAATAAAATTGAGGGGCAAACAGACAGTTGCACAACCAGTGTAAACTCATCAAAATCCCCTCGTTCTTCCTGCCTTCCCAGGGATGATGAATTACTCTCTTGGGTGCCTGGGCAGCACTGCTAACTCACCTCTCCAGCTGAGGTGAAAAGCAATGCAGCAAGTGGATAGGGCATGAATTTTCAGTCAAATGGCAGAGCTGGTCTGTCATATGTGTAAGTGCCTGGATGAAGGGTGAGGCAGGAATGTGCAGTGGCTTTGGGAGAGGTAGGGAGAAGGACAAGAGTCAAAGGAAGAAAGGTACAGCCCTGTCAGCCCTTCAGTCAGAACTGCTTAGACGTGCCTGCTCAAGCCACTTGAGAAACAACCTCTTGCCTATAACTATTGTTCACAACTTGTGCTACTTAATGGATGCCTGATTTTAGCAGTTCCCTTAACGACAGCACACAAACCTACAAGGTTTAAAACAAGCCTAGAGAGTAGATCTATGAAAAATAAACCACACAAATATTCAGGATATTATTTGTGCCAATCAGAGGATATTGGGACTGAGGAGTCCCAGGTCAGGACAGGCTCAGGAATGCAACAACGGTGAACCTTCTTTCCACAAGCACCAACAAGGTAAAAGCTCTAGCAGCCTGCAGAAGAGAAACAGGACAACTCTACCTGTGATATGGGCTCTGAAGACTTCCTTCCTAACATAACATTAAGATATCAAAAACCCTAAAAAATATCACATATGCAAGCAATTCTAAGGCTCTGAGGAGCAAGACCGGCTGTCAGCTCTGCACCGCACCACTTTAGTTTGAATGAAACGATGTTATTTCCAGCTAAATGAAGTGTTTCCCTTTCTCAGTACCTGTTAATGTGCGCTTACAGTGGGATTGCTCTGCAAACCAAAGCACACCATGAAAGGGAAGGCTGTTCAAACACCAGCTAGCTCATTACCTTCTCTAACACAGACCTGCAGGCAAAAGTACAATTAATTAGGAATTTAAGTAATCTCTAAAACAGTGATACTGCAAAAACATCAGGCGTACTGATTTAAATCTGCTGCGATGCTTTACAACGCTTGAGACAGCAACAGGATACAGGAATTACCTTAAAGAGATGCCAAAGGCCTTCAAATAGGTCTATCATAATTTCAGTACCTACTAATGGAGAGAAACCTGACTCTCAGTGAAGTGCCATCTCCTGATATTTTCTCATGGAGAAACAGAGACAATAGTAATAGGAACGTACTCATACTTCTGTGTGCACTGGAGTGACAGCAGCCCAGGATGGAGTAAACTCATTGAGGCTGCAGTTTCACACATTGATTTTCAAGCATTTCATATCTGATTTACTTTTTTTTTAAATTATTTTCCCATCAAGAAGCTAAAAGTAATTGCCATTCAGGACAAACTGACCACCCAAAACAGCGTCCTCTACAGCCCCACCTGAGGCAGAAAAATCCTTCAGGGAGTCAAAGGCTGAAAAGACTTATTGATTTTCTGCTTCAGACTAAGCACACTCAGCGATAAAGAACACTGTATTAATGCAACCCCCAGCTGGATACAACACTGACCTTTCCTCAACAGCAAAATTACAGAGAAAGGTAAGACAACAATTTTCCTTCAGAACATCCTCTTAACATGTCCAAAGACGATGGCATTCTTTAACCCTCTCTAATCAGTTGAACTACTGCCTCTTCAAGAAAGCATGAGCAGAGGTTCCTGCTTGGTGAGAGGGAGAACTGTACTGATCCCATAACCAACTAAGTGTGCAGCAGCAGGACATAAGGTTTCTGCTTCAAATGCAGAGTTTGAAGTGGAAAAAAGTCAAAGAATGAGGGTAAAAAGGGGTTTGCAGGGAGAAAATTTCCCCTCCCCTTAATGGGTGTTTTACTGAATGGGTATTTTAGCCCTATGAAAGAGACTTCGACCTCAATTCGTAAATCTGTCCACAGGACATTTTACTTCTTTTTAAACATTTGAAATTTCAGCTTCAGCCACAAGGCAACAGCACCTGTGTGCATTCTCTGCACAGCTCAAGTGAGATACACAAACCCTAATTCTAGAAAAAAACAATTCTTTAAACACACACATAAATGTAAATCAAATCTGAAACATAACTTGTATTTCTTTAGGAAAAGTACCACATTACAATTCTGGCAGCAGGGGAATCAGATTAAATCCTGTATAACTGCTTCTGCAGAAATGCCTACGCTGACGTCCACAAGACAGGATGCAGGTCCTCTCCTGCTCCCCTTGGAACAGAAAGCTTTGTACACAGGGTTTGTTAGTGGTCCTGAAAATAAACCCCCATATCTTTTAGAAGTAAGGGCAGCAAGAAATACAACAAGAAATATTCAGCCAAGTCTCAAAGGTTCCTTGTGACCAAACGGACGATGCCCCTCCATGCTCTGGTGACACACTTAATATTCTTCTGACAGGTCTGAGAGAGCTGCTTTACCACACCTTTTGGTCAGCGTGTACAGGTATGCTTAGTGAGAGCTGGGAGAAAAAAATCACATCAGAGTGGAAGCAGCTGCAAATAAATCCATCTAGGAAAAGGTACATGCCTGGGAATTTGTGTTCAAAGACACTGAAAAGGGAGAGAAAAGGCTGCCTGCTGTGGGGGGAGTGAGCACCTGTGAGCACAACTGCAGGAACACTTCACAATGATGAGGTGCAGGAAACAAGGAAGAAACACACTGTGCAAGAATAAAGCTGGGAATGAAAGCTGTACACCTTTAAAAGACATTCATCCTGCATTAAGAATCAAACTACTTTTGCATCTTTATTCTCAGAGCATTCTGAGCACAAAGCACTCTGCTGACAGCAGCTGTACCAGCTCAGCAGCAACGCTACAGTGACAGCACAGTTTGGAGACCTTCAGCAAGGCCTGGTCAGTGCTGAACGTATCAAATGCAAGTAAGAAGCCGGCAGCCAGGTCTGCCAGAACATCACCTCAATAACTCTTCAGCCTTAGAATGCACTCATCTGTTAGAATACCATTAAATACTTTCAAGAGCAAGGTATTTTCAGGGTAAAATAATTTTTACTCTAAAAAGTATGAAATGACTCATGTCTTACTGCACAATGTAAACTGTGCTGTCTTCGCTCTCTACCGCAGCTCATTTCCAGTATCAGAGATCTGGAGAAGTTGTATCTACTAACACATTTGTTTAATGCATAAAGGTAACAGATAATAGTTTGATTTTAACTAGCTAAAACCCAGGTCTCATTAACTGATGTCAAAGGATGATGAAACAAGTTATCAATGGCCACAGCAACACTTTAGCAGTTTACAATAACAAGCCAGTCTGGGCTTTAAGAAGAGTCTTGTGGAAGAGATGGGAACGCCCTTTCAATTTTCAGGAAGGGTAAAAAGCACAGTGAAATGTTGAAAAGTAACCAAGACAGGGACTCCTTCAGTGAGGTTGTCTCATTATAATGTAGGACTAAGCTTACAAAGAAAAGAACACAGATCAAACAAATAAACACAATGTGTTCCAGAGGGATTTCCAGGTAGGGTAAGAGCTTTCACGTAGGAGATCTCTAGCACAGTAACAGTATTTATTATGTAAAAAAAAAAAAGAAAAAAGAAAAAAAAAAGAGGACAAAACAGAAGAATCCCCAATTTGTGTGAAGAGTGATGATGCATCACTACTAAAAAGTTACTTGTGTTTTCAAAACATAATTTAAATTTGCTTTACTTTGCCAGTATAGGACTGAGAAATGTTCTGTACTTTGATCAGTCACATGGTCCATATCACAGAGAACAAATGCCAACTAATTTACATCAATACCGATATAAGTAATTCATACAAAACATAGGGGGCATCCAGGAAATCAAATAATGGAGGAAAATGTCAACGATTACACAGCAACTGCATTAACTAAAGAGCTATGAACAATTAAAATTGATAGAGATGAATTGTAAAAAAAAAAAATCAGAACTTCCTCCAAAGAGAAAGCCTCCACGTTTTTCACAAAGGGTAGAAACAAGTCAGGCTCAGGACAAGAGCCATAGTTTTCTTATAGAAGAGCACAAATGCTACTTCATTTTGCCAACCAACATCCATAACATTCCTTATAAAACTTTTACCACTAACCCCAAGCCCATTCCAAGACCCTAACCACCCCTCAAATGCAGAAAGC